ACAGGTGAAGTGGAAGGTTTTCCAGATCTGGACCCAGTGCATGGGCTGTATACATTTTAATGAGCCTGGGCCCAGGGTTGGAAGCTGCCTGCCTTCACACCCCTTTCTATTTCCTGTTGTGGCCTCAGAAGCAGAGAAAAGGCCTGGTGCTTGGGGATGGTGCTTGCCCTGGGGTTCTGCTGGGCTTGCCTTCTCCACGGGGGGCTCATTCCGCAACAGGCCCCAGGTGCCCAGGCTCTCAGTCCCAGGCACTGGGCACAAACGGAGCCAGAGGAGACTGGTAAGATCTAGAGTTAGGAACTTCAGAAGTCATCTGGTACCAACCTTTCTGTTTACAAATGAGGAAACAGACACCCTAACATGAAAAGTGACATGCCCAAGGTCTCATAGGGAATGTGAATAGGAATCTCAGCTGTGGCCGAGCTGAGATCTGAACCCAAGTCCTCTTGATCTTTTCCATATACCAGTTGCAAAATAGTAGTAATTCAGTAAACTTATTAAGCACCCACTGTATTCAAGGCACTGGGGTTGCAAAGACAAAAATAAAACATCTACCCTCTAAGGAACTTATATTCTACAGGGGTGGGGGGGGTGGGGGTTAGTACACAATAATAATAATAATAGCATTTGTATATCTCTTTAAGGGTGGCAAAGTATTTTTCTTTTTTTCTTTTTCCTTTTTTTGGGGGGGGCGAGGCAATTGAAGTTAAGGGTAACACAGCTAGTGAGTGTCTGATGCCAGATTTGAACTCAGGTCCTCCTAACTCCAGGGCTGGTACTCAATAACTGTCACCTAGCTGCCCTACAAAGTATTTTTAAAATCTCATTTGATGTACGCAGACAAGTAAATGCAAAGCAAAACAGTTATTTCAAGAGGCAGAACTAACAGCCATGGAAATGTATTGTATCCATTGGTACTTTGATTGGTAGTGCCAGTCAATTTTGTTACTGTTGCCATTTTTACTATATTGGCTTCACCTAGTCATGAGCATTGACTCTCTTTCCAGTTACTGTAAAAACTAATATAGTTGACTTTTTCTAAATCTGATGTTTGCCTTGCTAGGGGAGGGTCCAAATGTTTGGTCTGGTCCATTTTATCATTCTTATGAGTTGTCTTCTAGCCTCCTGCAGTGTAGGGACTGGGGTCTCTGGGGCCCTGCTCCGGAGTTAGTGGCCTGGCCTGGTTCAGAACCCATTGAGGGAAAGGGGGAAAGAGAGAATTCACAATCCACCACCGCTTCGCCCCCCCCCCCCCCCCCAGCTGGCTGTGTTCCTTCCTGACCACAGTCTCCTGCCCTGTCCTTCCTCCCCATCCCAGCTACCAGTTGGCCATCCTCATCTAGGAAGGTTTCCTGAGCTGGAAGGATGGGCTGATGCTGGGCCTGGGGCTACAACTGAAGCATCTGGTGGCTAGTTATGCCTCCCATCTATGGAGGGGTAGGGAAGACCCTTTCTTTGGAGAGAGCTGAGGATGAGAGGAGGTGGGGTGCATACTTTGCTTGATTATTTACCTGATGTCTCCTTTCCTGGAATGTAAGCTCCCTGAGGGCAGGAGCTGCCTGTTGCCTTTCTTTGCCTCTCCTGTGTTTAGCATAATGCTTAATAAATGGGATTGTTCGGTAAATGAATGGGACGGAGTCTAGGAAGGGGGGGAGGGCTTCTGGGCCATTCTGGGAAGGGCCCAGGGAGGATGTTGTGAGTGAAGAGGGGAATAATGAACCGCAGGTCATGTCTGGCATACCAGCTGGCTGAACCTGGGTGAGAAATAGCTTGGTTCCCTTTCCTGTCTTCCCCAGCTTGGTCCCCTCCCCTCCCAAGGCCTGGTCAGAGCTGGAGAATCTTCTAAGAAACCCTGGGTTTTCCAGCCAAATCCATGCTTTGGAGGCAGCCTGGAGATCTGGGTTTGAATCCTACCGCCATTCACTGGCTATGGGACCTGGAGCGAGTAAGGCGCTCCCAGTATCACTGAGGCTGAAAGCGGAGAGTCGCTTTCAGGGGTCATCTTGAGGTGTCCGACTCAAATAGAGCCAGGACCACCAAACGGAACACAAAGGTCCCTGTGAGCTGCAGACTGGATTCTGCTGTATTTTTATTTCTTTTGTGAAGTAATTGCCAATTCCATTTTAATCTGATTCTGTGCCAAAGGCTGCGACTTGGTGGGTGGCGTGTTTGAGGCCTTGGATCTAACCCAACCCATAGTTGAGCCTGGGCAGCCAACTTCTCCAAGTCTTGGTGTCTTTCTTCCCTGGAGCTCAGACTAGGTCAGGGGTGGGGAACCTGCCGGACCAAACAGTGAAGTTGGGATTCAGTGAAAGGGCCGCACTTGAGGACCTGGGGGGCCACAGGTTCCCCACCCTGGACTAGGTGGTCATGAAGAGGCCTCTAACTGTAAATCCCAGGGTCCTAGGTTCAAATCTCACTCTGCTGCTGGCAGAGTGGCTAGGTGGCACAGTGGATAGAGCTCCTGCCTTAGAACAGGGAGGACCTGAGTTCAAATGTGGCCTCAGACCCTTGACACTAGCTGTGTGACCCTGGGCAAGTCGCTTAACCCCGATTGCCTCACTAAAAACAAAAACCAGCAACCCAAATCTCACTCTGCTTGTCAACCTTTGTGACCTTGGATAAGTCATTTGAGGATCCAAGAGCTTAACATAGAAAGTGTTTTGCAGACTGTGAAGTGCTGTATAAAAATGCTGGCCATTATTGTTCTTATTAACAACAATCTCCTTGAGCCTCAGTTTCCTTAGCTGTATAATAAGGGGGTTGGACTTGTGCAGCTCTGGATCTCTGGTTGTCTAACCATAGGGAGGGGGACCTTGGGGTCCAGGTGGGCTGGGCCTGGGGCTGACGGGGAACCCAAGCTCAGCCCTGCTCCTGCTCTTTCCTTGAGCTTTCCCCTTCCTCTCTGGCTCCTCCTCCTCCTTGACTTTCTTTCTCCTGCCTCTAGAGGTGCCCATCAGTGCCTGCCCTCCAGCCGCATCTCAGCTGCTGCCTGCTGCCCCAGGCCTAGGAAGCTGCAGCATGAAAGCTAGGGGCTGCTGTTCAAGGCTACCTGCCCACACTCACTCAGCCGGTGCTTGGCTGTGGGCCCAGAGGCAGAGATAGGCCGCTGTTCCCTGAACTCAGAACAATAACGTCGGCCCTTGGAGGGATCTGTGTTGTTGTTTAATCATTTTTCAGTTGTGTCTGATTGTTTATGGCCCCATTTGGAGTTTTCCTGGCAAAGATTCTGGACTGGTTTTCATTTCCTCTCCAGATCATTTTGCAAATGAGGAAACTGAGGCAAACAGGGTGAAATGACTTGCCCAGGGTCACACAGCTAGTAAGTATCTGAGGCTCTATTCACTGCAGCGCCCCATAGAAGGGACTTAGGTGTCATCTGTTCTAAACTCCTCATTTTATAAAAGAGCAAAGTGAGTCCCAGGGAGGGTAAGGGACTTTCCTAAGACCACATAGCTAATAAATAAAATATCCGAGTAGGGTCTGAACACAGAGCTTCTGACTCTTTCCACTGACCGCTGGCTCCTGGTTTGGCCCCAGCTGTGTCTAGGCTCAGGCCCTCCTCCTCTGTCCTGCCTGGGATGCTTAGGGGGGTGGGGGGTGCGTGTTACGGTCATGGAGTGGTCAGGGCCTGTCCATTCGGGCTGAGAGGAAGGAAGCCAGCCTGGGCAGCCTTGATGCCAACAAAGGCAGCTTTTATGCATGCCTAGCCACCCTGGGGGAAGGCTCAGGCCCTTCCCCCATCTCCACTGCCCTGCCCCCACCCTCCTCAAGCTCAGAATGGAACCTCTGACCTCAGCCCATCCCTGGCCGATCCTTTCCAGTCATGCAGTTCCCCAGCCCTGGGCGCTGGAGTGTTCAGAGCTGTTCAGGCTGCTGGTGCATCTCCCATTTCCCAGTCTGGGAGTGGGATTTGCAGAGAGGTGAATTCAGCTCAGGATGAGAAAACTTCCTCCCATCAGAGCTGTCCCAAAGTAGGATGGGCTGCCTCAGGAGGTAGTGAGCTCCCCATCACTGGAGGTCCTCAAGAACGGTCTGGGCGATTGCTCGTTGGACCTTCTTCGGAGGGCTTTTTGGTTCTGGCTTGGGTTGGAGTAGATATGGGATTCAGGCCACCTACCACGTCCCCTTCCTTCCATGTGGGATCAGGGCTTCTTTCCTCTGGGCCATGCTCCCTGCCCAACGCCTAGTTCTCAGGGGAATCAGGAGGTCATAGATTTAGAGCCTGAAGGGTCTTTCATCTCCCTTCTTCTGCTTTTGCCAAAGACTAAATGTTCTGGAAAACCGTAACTTGTCCAAGGTCACCCAGCCCATGTGAAGGCAAGCCGGCCTTTGACTCCAGAGCTAGCCACCTCGGCTCTCAGGCCCATCCCTCCCGTTTCCACCAGGAAGGTCAGGCAGGGTGCCATCAGAGCTGCTGGCGGGGTGGGGGAAGTGACCAGATTGGTGGCCCCCGCCCCTTCTGGATACGGCCTCCCCTCTCTTGTTCGCTGGCTCCCTCTTGTGGTCGCTGGCGTCACCTCACTGACAGGGTTTCACCCTCTTCCCCATCTGCTGGCTGATTGGCCCGGCCACCCTGGCTGGCACCCAGACCCGGGAACTTTCCTCCCACGGCCTGCTATTCTTTCAGCCCTTGCACAGAAGGCTAGCCCTTCCCTGGGTAGGAGGGTGTCATCCTGACTTGGGATGCGTGGAATCGGAAGAGGTGGAGAGGATTCTCTGGGGTCATCTGGGCCCCCAATCACGGGGTCTGTCTTGGAAGCAGGGGGAGGCCTGGGACAGATTCATGATCCAGTTTCTGGCAAGGATCAGCCTCAGTTTATACCCTGGGATGTGGAGATGGGCCAGACCTGCTTGGATCTTAGGATCACTGAGCTCGAAAGGGCTGTCCGCTCCGACTGGTGCTGGAACAGAAATCCCCGCTGAGATGGCGTAATGGAAACCTGCTTGCTTTGCAGACAGAGGTGCTGGGTTCCAGTCTTGGCTTTGTAACTGACTCTCTGTGTGACTGTGGACAAGGTACTAAACCTGTCTGGGCCTTAGCTCCTCTTCTGTAAAAAGAAAGCATTAGATTAGCTGGCCTGCAGGGCCCGAGTGTCCAGTGAAGGGGACCCTCGATTTCCTAAGCAGTTCCTTCTTCTGGGCTCCTTTCAGTTGTCCAAGCCTAGGATCCTGATGGCGCATGTCTGTGCCACACCCTGGGTGATGCTGGTCCTCACATGTGCTGTACCACCGGGTCCTCGTGACACCCTCGAGGGATTATTATGGCCCTTGAGGAGCTGGGGGCCCGCAGTGGGGAAGTGACTCAACTAAGGCCCTACAGAGATCAGCGGCAGGCTGGGCCTAGAATCAAGGTCTCCTAATGCCGACTGCAGGGATTTTGCCCTTACAGGGTGGCGCTGTGGTCTGGGAGGAGGAGGAGGAGGAGGAGGAGGAGGAGGAGGAGGAAGGCCCTGGCCTTTCCGCATTGATCTGCCCTCTTTCCTACAGAGCTGCCCCCGTCAGAGTTCTTGCAGGTGGCTGAGGCCACGTGGCTGGTGCTCAACGTCCTATCCAACAGCAGCTCGGCCACCAATTTCCAGGCTGTCGGCGTCACCAAGATTGCCCGGTCGGTCATAGCTCCCCTGGCTGAGCACCACGTCTCAGTGCTCATGTTGTCCACGTACCAGACAGACTTCATCCTGGTGAGACTTGCAGGGACAGGGGAAGGGGGGCATAGACCATCCTGGGTCCTTTGGTCTAGGGAAGTGGGGGTATCTTCTCCCTCGAAGCCTTGGTGAGAAGGAGAGGGCCTCGTATTTGCCTCGTTCCTCAGCCCCATTCTGCCAGGCTTTGGGGGGTAGGAGTGCGAGAAGCAAGAGGGGAGAAGACATGCCCCAGGCATGTGTCTGTTCATGCCCTTTTCCCAGGGACCTCTTGGGCAACACTCTGCCTGCCCCACGTCCAAGGGGCGGCCACGTGCTTACAGAGGAAGGAGAGGGAGAAGGAGATACAGAGATGGGAAGAGAGATACAGAGAGGCACAGGGAGAGGGGGAGAGATAGAGAGACAGAGAGAGAGAGAGATAGAGAGGGGGGAGAGAGAGAGATAGACACAGGGAGAGGGGGAGAGGCAGACACACACGCAGACACAGGGAGAAGGGAGAGAATGAATGAATGAATGAATGCGAGGGTCAGTACTCACTCTATGTATGAATAAGCTGAGGAGTGTGTCGCATGTTTAGCACATGTATGATAGCGTATGTCCATGTGGGTCTGTTGGGGGGGGTTGGGGGGGGTCGTCACATGACTGACAACCTCAGCCTTCCCTCTGGGCTGTAGGTTCGGGAGCAGGACCTACCTGTCGTGATCCACACTCTGGCCCAGGAATTTGCCATCTACCGGGAGGTCGATGGAGAGCCTGTGCCCGTGGCCTGTGATGATGCCAGCAACGGCTTCCACAAAGCCAAACTGGGTGAGGGGCCACCGGGGTGGGGGCAGGGGGAGGGCTGTGCCTGCCTGGGCCAGCTGCTGAAACGTCATTCCTTCACACACCCCTCCCCTCACCCCACCCCCCCAGGTCTGGTTTGGTCGGACGCTGTTCCCAAAGGCTTCTGATGTTATTAGACTCTTTAAAAAATGATTGCTATGACTTATCTTCCCCCACCTCCTGCCCCCGCCAGCCAACCCTTGGTTTTTTCCTTTTTAATTAAATTTAAAAAAAAATTTTCTGAGAGCCATCCCTTGTAACAAGGAGGGGAGTGGGGAACCAGTTCAGCAAAACCAGCCCAGTCTCCACCTAGTCTAACAGTAGATTCCATGTTCTACACCCGTAGCCCCCCACCTCTGGAAGGGAGGGAGGTATGTCTTTAGTCATGCTATTATTAATAATGACAATATAAACTCCTGTGGCATTATTAACCAGAGGGTATAAATATCCTTTGGAGAAGGCTGGGAGGGCAGAGACGACTAGCCTGGCTTTTCAGGGGAGATGGCCATGGTCCTAAGCAGATGAGACTTCTCCAAGATCATGCAGTTAATGGCTAATTGGCCCAGGGGATTAGCAAACCCTTACCTTTCCTAGGAGATGCCCTAAGCTCTGTCTACTGGGCTCCTTCTATGTGGCCACCAGGTGGAGCCACCTCCCCAGCCCTAGCAGGCTGCCAGGCTTAGCCCTGGGTGACTGGGAGCTGGGCTGGCCATTTACAGGTCTCTTCTCCCTTCCCTGAGGCAGGCCCCAGCCCCACTGTGCACCCCATCCAGAGTCCCCAGAACAGATTCTGCATCCTCACGCTGGACCCTGACACCCTCCCTGCCATTGCTACCACGCTCATGGACGTCCTCTTCTACTCCCACAGGTAGGGATCTGGAAGCGAGTCTTCTGCCCTTCTCTTCTCTCCCATCCCTTCCCCTTGCCTTCCAGGTGGGGAAACTGAGGCCCAGATTGGGGAAAGGAAAGCCAAACCTCTAGAATCATAGAACTTCAGAACTGGAAGGGACCTTATGGCATAAAATACAAAGTTTAGGTCCCACTCCTTCGTTTTACAGATGGGGAAACTGAGGTCCAGTTTGGGGAAAAGTTGTGGAGCAATTATCATGGAAAGTGAGGTCAGGTTGGACCCTTAGAACAGGGAAGGTCAGAGGTGGGAGGAGCTTCAGAACAGGGAATGTCAGGGCTGGGAGGGGTCTTAGAACAGGGAATGTCAGAGTTGCAAAGGACCTTTTAGATCATTTGTAAGATCATTTTATATATGGGGAAACTGAGGCACAAAGACAGGAAGGGACTTTCCCAAGGTCACTAAGGCAGTCCTAGCAGGACCTTTTCTCACTTATTGCACACCCCCATACTGAGCTGAGCTCCTGGCTGCTTCCCAGCCCTTTCAGAGGGGAGGGAGCTGTGATGGGGGGGCAGAGCTGACTGTCCTCCCCCCTTCTCTCTTCACACCTCCCCAGTGCTTCAAAGGAGGGGGCTTCTGATGACCCGGACCTTGACTCCATCCCCTTCTTTGCCTTCTCCCTGATCGAGGGCTACATCTCTATTGTCATGGACGCAGAGACACAGAAGAAGTAGGTAACCCACCCTCTGACCCTGAGTTGGGTGGGGGCCACGGTCTTGGCTTCTCTGGTGACGCTGAGATCCCAAGGCCTCTTGAGAGGGACGCGCACCTGTGCTAGTCACAGAAGGGAATGGGGCCTTAGAACCTGGAGTAGCAGAGCTGGGGAGGCTTCAGGGAGACCCAGTCTAATCCCCCTGTTTTTTCAGAGAGGGGAGGTCACTTCCCTGTGGTCACCCAGTGAATTAGGGGTGGGGTTGGGACCAGAAGCCAGCTTTCTCCATTCCCTGCCCGAGACCTGTCCCCGCACTGGGGAGGGAGGGAGGATGAGTTAGGGGGTGGGGAGGGGGCAAGGGGAGGCGCCAACTCCACCTTCTCCCTCCCTAGGTTCCCCAGTGACCTGTTGCTTACTAGCTCCTGCGGAGAGCTCTGGAGAATGGTTCGAATCGGGGGCCAGCCCCTGGGCTTCGGTTAGTCCTGGCTGGCCAGGGAGCTCCCTGGGACCCTAACAGGGGTGGGCAAAGGTCCTGAGACTTTCATCTTTGGCAGCCGTGGGTCTGGGTGGAGGTCCCTGGCCAGCTCGGCCTGTTTGGGGGTGGAGTGGGAGCGGGCGTGACCAGAGACAGCTTAGTAAATGGTCCTGGGCAGTTCACCTTGGAAAGCACTAAGTGCCTACTATGTACCAGGCCCTGAGAATATAGCCACACAGATGAGCCTGTTCCTGCCCTCAGGGAACTTACGTTCTGCTGGGGAATAGCTGCTAAATACCAGAGATATAAGAAGTCCAAAGTGATTTCAAGGTTGTGGGGGTCCTAACATTTGGGGGTGACTGGGCCAGGCCCACTTGGGGGAGGGGACAAAGGGGCTAAAGAAGCATCATAGAAAGGCGATATTTCTGAAAGGCAGAGCTGGGGCAGGGAGAGATACAAGGCACGGGGAGCAGGAGCCTCCCATGGGAACGTAGACCAGTCTGGTTGGAATATAAAGGGGAGGGGACTGCTGGGGAGGGGGGCACGAGGGCCGGGTGAACGGAGGGCGTTGACCGAGGCCAGATGCCTCGTTTTTCCAGAGGAGGAATGTGACTGGCCCAGGGTCACTCAGCAAGGATGTGGAAGAAGTCGAATGCAGATCCCTTGAGTTCAGTTCAGTACGCGTTTGTGAAACGCTTCCTGCATGGTGCTTGGCTGACCCAAGTGAATCAGCCCTGCCCTCTGGGAGCTGGCGTTCTGAAGGTGCCCTTGAGAGGGGCTGAGGAGTGGGGGAGCCATCGGCCTTCATAGGTTCAGTGGCTGAACCAGTCCTCCCGCCTCATTCTAGAGAGCGGGAGTCACGGAGACTTGGCCAGGCTCCCGCCGCCCGCAGGGCTCACGGTAGCTTTGCTGCTAGTGAGTGGTGTGTACTTCTCGTCCACTGGCAGCTGGCCTTCCTACGAGACCCAAGGAGCAGTCAGCCCCCACTGCCTTCCTTTCACCCCCTTCCTTCTCCTTCTCTCCTCGTCCCAGATGAGTGTGGGATCGTGGCCCAGATCGCGGGGCCCCTGGCCGCTGCCGACATCTCCGCCTACTACATCAGTACCTTCAACTTTGACCACGCCCTGGTGAGTGTCTTCCTTTTCCCAGGCTACCCCTTCCTAAAAGCCAGGACCAGTTCGGGGCATGCATGTCACAGGTGAAGCTAGAAGGGATCTAAGAGACCGTCTCGTCCAACCCTCTTGTTTTGGAGCGGTGGAGATGGGCCCAGAGAAATGAAGAGATTTGCTCATGTCACCCAGCCTGGCAGCGCCCCCAGGATTCGCTCTTAGGCACTTCCCTCTAGAAGGTGGCTGGTCTCAGGAAGCCCGGCTCTCCCCGGTTCCCTGCCCCTTTAAGCGGGGCCTGTGGTGCTCTCCCTTCTTCCCCCTGTGCCCACAGGTACCCGAGGATGGCATCGACAGTGTCATTGAGGTCCTTCAGAATCGCCAGGAGAGCTGCCGGTAGTGGCTGGATCAGGAACCTATGTCCCTGTGGCTCAGGCTGGCAGACACTCCCCCGCCATTGTCCTCTTCTTTGGCGGGGTTCTGGCGTCTCCAAAGGCTAAACCAAAGCTTTGCCCCGTGGCAATGGGGACTGCTCTGGTGCCCCTCTGTTAGGTGTGCGTGAGGGGGACATCCCCTGGGACCACCTTTCACTCTAATTTTTAAGTAGTTGGTTTTTTTGGTCCTGTTGCGCAAGCAGGCGCCTAGGGCTAGGGGACTGGACACCCCAGGGGCTGGGGGTGGGAGGGGAGATGATCTCAAGCTTTCCCTCCTGTCCTTTGGAACCTGGGTCATTTTCTTGGCCTCCTCTTGGAGCTGGCCCTGCTCTAAGGCCCGGCCCCCAGTGGGTGGGGGTTAGGGAGGGCCCTCATCCTGGGCCAAAGCTGGCTCCCTTCAGTTCTTGCTCCCCATGTCCTCTCCTGGAGGTCAGGAAAGCTAAGAGGCCTGGCCTCTAATGCACAAAACACTCATGTGTGCCTTATCCGTGAAGCTGTGTGGGCACACTGTGTGCCCACAAAGTGGAATCGTGGTGCTGTGGAAGGCTTCACTTAGGAAGCCTCAAGCCTTGACACTCCCCTACCCCAGCCCTTGGTAAACATCTTTGCACATGCTCCCTCCATGTGGGGCTGGGGGCTCCCTGGGAAGGAGATCCCCCTCTCTGTCCTTCTCCCCTTTCTGCACCCCTGTCTCCTGCCCCTCTCCATGGTCCTGGGAGGAAGCTCCCTCTGCAGAGGGCTGGTCCCCACACCCATCCTCTCCTAGGGGAGAGCCCATGATCTCTGTCCCATCTTTGGGGAGGAGCCTCCTGTTTTTAAGAAATCTCCAATAAAGCACTTTGCAATCCCTGGAGTGTGTCTAAGACGTAGGTGGTGTGTCCGTGCCCCCTTCTCAGTCGGCCTGCCCTTCCTAGAGGATATCAGGGCATATCCTTCCAAACCCAGGTTCTGGCAGGGCAGGGTGGAGCAGCAGAAAGCACGTGGGCTTTAGAAGTGGAGAACCTGGGTTTGAGTTCTGCCTTTGTTATTTACTGTATGACCTTGGGGAAGTCATTTCCCTCTTTGGGCCTTGTGCCCATATACAAAATGAGGAGGGACAGCTGGGCTGCATCCCTTCAAGCTCTGCCAGTCCACTTGGCGCCAAGCCTCCATCTCTGCTCTCTAAAGAAGGCTGTTGCAGAAAAAGAATGGGATTTCAAGCTGCGGGTTCTGGGTTTGAATCTCAGCTTTGCCACCAACTACCCAGGGGACCACCAGTAAGTCATAACCTCTCTGGGCCTCAATATTCCCCTCTGTAAACTGAGGGCTTGGGGTGGACTAAAATCACCCCCAAAGGTCTCTCCAGCTCTTAATTCTCTAACTTTACAATCATTTATTCCTGTAAAGTGGGGGAAAACGGAGGGAATAGAAAGTTGGAAATGAGGGCTGAAGGTTCCAGTCTGAAAACACTCTAGAATTGGGCCAGGACAAATGCCCTGGAGCATCCAGGATGGGGCCATCTTCCTTAAGGGCTTAGAGTACTTGGCCCTGCCTCCCACCTTGTCCTCTCCCCCCTCCCCTCTACCCGAGGGGGCCTTCAGACCCCACTCTGAGCAGTCCAGACTGAAGGCCAGGGTTCTGTGGACAAAGACGGTCTTGGGCTGGGCTAGACCTCTGAGCCCGTCTCGTTCAATCTCCCCAAACCAGAATCTCCCTCTGCGGCATTCCTGACAAGTGGTTGTCAATTTGAAGACATCTAGCGATGGGAAGTGCACTCACTACCTGATGATGCAGCCCACTTCACTTTGGGGTGGCTCCAATGATTAGGAGGTTTTTCCTTTCATCAAGCCCAACTCTTCCCTCTTTCAGCACCCACTGTATGTTCCTAGTTTGGCCCTCTAGGCTCAAGTCAGTCAGCAAGCATTTATTAAGGACCTACTCTAAGCCAGGCACTGTGCTAAGGCCTGGGGATACAAAGAAAAGCAAAAGACGGTCCTTGTCCTCAGGGGGTTCACAGTCTAATGGGGGAGACCACAAGCAAATACATAGATAGACAAAGCAAGCTCTGGAGAGGATCCATAGGGAAAATGAGAGGCAAAGCGCAGGAATTTAGAGGAATTGGGAAAGGCTTCTTGTAAAGGATGGGAATTTCACTGGGATTTGCTGGAAGCCAGGAGGCAGAGAGGAGGCGGGGAGAGCATTCCAGGCATGAGGCACAGCCCAAGTAAAGGTCTAGAGCTGAGAGATGGGGTGTCATGTATGAGGAGGAGCCAGGATCCAAGGATACGTATCCACATTAAGGCATAAGAAGAGACTGGTAAGGGAGGCAGCTAGATGGTGCAGTGGATAGATCACTGGCCCTGGATTCAGGAAGACCTGAGTTCAAATCTGGCCTCAGACACTTGATACTAACTGTGTGACCCTGGGCAAGTCACATAACCCCGATCGCCTTGCAAAAAAAACCAAGAAGATTGGAAAGGGAGAAGAGGGCCGGGTTAGGAAGGGCTTTGAATGCCAAACAGCATTTTGTATCTGCCCCTGGAGGTAATAGGGAGCCACTACAGTTTACTGAGTAGGGGTGATGTGGTCAGATCTGCACTTTAGGAAAATCACTTTAGTGACTGATTGGAGGAGGGATTGGAGTGGGGAGATCCTTGAGGCAGGCAGACCCCACCCCCCACCCCCGCCAGCAGCCGTAGCAATAGTCCAGTTATGAGGTGAGCAGGGCCTACTTGTCAGAACACAGAAGGTGGTGGGTGAGAAATGGGAGTGTAGGCTGACTCCAAGGTTGCGAGCCTGAGGGAGGAGGGTGTTACTCTCTACAGTAATGGGGAACGTAGGAGGGGGGAGGGTTTGGGGAGATAGATACTGAGTTGAAGGTGTCTACTGGATGTCCAGTTCAAGATGTCTGAAAAACAGTTGGAGGTCAGCAGAGAATGGGGCAGAATAGATAAATCTGAGAATTGTCAGCATAGAGATGATTGTTAAATCCATGGAAACTGATGAGATTGCCAAGTGAAGTAGTTTGGAGAGAGAAGAGAACCCAGGTCAGAACTGCTGAGGGATTCCAATAGTTACAGGGTGTGATTTGGAGAAGAAGACAGAAGGAGCAGGCAAAGAGGAGGAAAACCAGGAGAGGAGGAGAGGGGAGGGGAAGAGG